ACATAACCGGCACACCGCCAAAACATGACCAGGACACCATCACAACAGGACCGGGACACCATCAAAACATGACCGGGACACCGTCACCACACGACCGGGACACCATCAAAACATGACCGGGACACCATCACAACATGACCGGGACACCATCAAAATTGGACCGGGACACCATCACAACATGACTGGGACACAATCAAAACATGATCGGGACACCATCACAACATGACCGCGCCACCATCACATGATCGGGACACAATCAAAACATGACCGGGACACCGTCACAACACGACCGGGACACCATCAAAACATGACCGGGACACCGTCACAACACGACCGGGACACCGTCAAAACATGCCCGGGACACCATCACAACATGACCGGGACACCATCACAACATGACCGGGACACCTTCAAAACATGACCGGGACACCATCACAACATGACCGGGACACCATCAAAACATGACCGGGACACCATCAAAACAGGACCGGGACACCATCAAAACATGACCGGGACACCAGCATCACATGACCCGGACGCCATCAAAACATGACCGGGACACCATCCGCCCACCAGCTCTGACGGTGACCCGACGGCGCCCGTCCGCCTATTAGTTTTGCAAGACCCCATAGCATGGCTATTGGGGAAAAACCCTTTCCCCAAGCTATTTGCTACGATTTCCAACATGCAGGCACGACTTTAGCAGTTCTCTGTAGGAGGCTCATTCAGGTGGAACATACCAAAGTTATCAAATATTCGATCTCAATCAGGGAACCAAATGGCCTGGATGCAGCTTCGGAGTTGAGGCATCATCCTGCGAAGCACAGTGGTGAGACAGGCCGATCTCAAGTACTTCAAGTTTGCTTCACAACAGAGGTGACACCAAGAAAGCTCTACGATTCCAGGAACTTGGTCCTAAGTGTTCTTTGCGACCCTACAGTGAGGCCTTCATGAAAACCACTGGATAACCATGAAGATTTCAGGGATGTACTGGTTGAAGCTGGATTGTCAATCATGTGCCACGGAAAGCAGATGAAAAAAGTAATATTCTGAAATAAAGCAACTGGCAAGAGGGCTGAGAGCAACAAACAAACGAAGAAGCCACTGATGGCCAACTAATCCTAGTTCTGTCAATCTGGCCTTTGGAAAAGTATGTTCCACACCAAAACTTCCATCTGCAGTAAATCCTCTGTGACGTTTTTTCCTCCATGCCGCTCTGCGCCTCCTGACTGCTGCTCCTTTCAAATTTTGCTGGCTGTTGCAGATTCACGGATGGTGGGAGCGGCGTCAAGTACCTGGCCGGTGTTGCAGATTCGGTTGCAGCGTTTTTTTGACTCGCCGACGGACCAGCCATGTTCTGTCCGATTCGGAATCTTGAATAATCTTCTGGTTTTGCATGGTTCGAGTTCGAGGGAAATGCATTCTCATGCAGTTAGCTGCTGAGAAGTGAGCAGCAGCTCCAGGCTCCAAAGTCAAACCATCGAAAGCAAACCTAAAGAGTCTGCATTTATCACCCTGTCGCACGAAACCGGTCTCAACCATGTCCAGGGACACCCGGATGGGACCGACAAGAGCTTGTCCGTATCAATCGTCATCGCCATCTGTGGGCTGAGGGTCATGTTCAGCACCTCGGTGTTTCGGATTGAACACCCCTGCCTGCAGGGTATTCCTTGGAGTGCTTCAAACCTTCGTTACTCAAACGCAATGCAAACACCTGCCAAATACCTGGGTGGGTGTCTAGCCAAAGGATACTTCATCACAGAGACCCAGAGTACCCAGAGAAACGAATCAACATCAGCAGAACCTGAAACAGCTCAAGTGGACCATGACGAGGAACTATAGCACACATTGAAATGCTGCCATGTGCAACAACGACCAAAACAAATCGACGTGACGACAAGCGGCTTCTTCAACTGCTAATCCGCTACAGTAAGAGTGTTTGAACAGTACACAGAAAACTCAAGCTGTTCTTCTGAGAGGCTGTTTTCACCGCCGACTGCAGGCCAAGATGCGAATCAGGTCAAACAGCCTTCAGGATAGCTCCACAATCCCGAGATCCGAGAGATCAAAGGCTGCAGCATGTCCATCAAAATGAAAATGGATCAGAACTCAGCAGGAAAGCATGCTCCCTACGGGACCTTCAGGCACCAACTTTGCCTTCATCTAAATTGAATTAGAACACATCCTGAATTGCAATCAAAACCGCCCCTCCCATCCCAACCAAGCTCACTGCATGACCTGTGCAAACATCTGCCTGGTGCCAAGACCAAGACTTCTCCTCTCCCCTCCCTCACTTAGCTTTCTCAATCTCTCAGTCTATCAGCCTCTATCTATCTATCTATCTATCTATATCTCTATCTCTATCTCTATCTCTATCTCTCTCTCTCTCTCTTTGTTCTTCTCCACTCTCTTTCTCTATGAAACACACAACCACGTGGACCAAGAAGAATAGAAAAGTGCATAGATACATACCGTATATATGCATAGGGCACTTCGTACAAGCGCTTGTCCTGGAACTGTTTGAGCCAACAGTTTCTTGCCAATTCTTTCCACAACAGTTGTGAGAATTGCCATGAAAACACAGTCCTCACAAACATGATTCGACACTACACCAAGAAATAGTCTGGATGATGACATTCTTGAGCTAGTCATCACCCACACTTTTGTGCCAACCAAACTCAACCCGGAAAAATCTCTCTGCCAAGGGTTGAACTCGCATTGGGCTAGGAATTGTTTCAACCCTGGTCGTTGCAGGCCTTTGCCATCCGCCAAATCAGCATGACCCAACATGCATAAAGGCATAAATTCAGGCTTCTAGATGCATCCCAGCTGCTGTCACCACCAGTTTCCCAATCTCGCTCTTGTCTCCCACCCGCTACTGCCGCCCGCTGCGTCCAGGCGGCTGGATCTCCTTCTCCAGCGCGGCCAACTCGCCCACCACGGGCGCCAAAGCCTCAGACCGCCAAGGCAATGAGGCGAGACAGTCGGTGACTTGTTGTCGATAGGTCTAGCACAAACGGACAATTAGAAGTATTCAGGCGTAAGCCCCAAGCAAGCTGGTCTTTCTTTGCCGATCACAAAGATCACTCAGTCTAGCTACCAAGGCGCCTTATCACACCAACTTCAAAGCCGGCCTTCCTACGCAAACGAAGACGGCCGAAGACCGAAGACACACGGAAACAACCGGAGACATCGGACAAGAGGCGACCCAAACAACCCAGCACACCCGAGAAGGGCGGATTCAACCGGAGACACCGCAGAAGCAATCGACCCAAGCAGGCTGAAGACACTTGACAGCCGGCAACAGCCGGAAACACCACACACCGCATCTCATAACCGTCAAATGAGAAATGGGGGCGGACATGCTTCCAGCATGGAGGTGCACATTTAAAGCCGCGGCGATCACTTGGATCGAGCTGTAAAGGCACATGCAATCAAAACGGGAAAACGATCAGGCAAAATGCCTATCTCCACAACAACTGGAGGGAGAAAACACTGCGCAATCCTCACAATGCTAATGAGAACCCCAGTCTCTGGTCATCCCCGCATTGCTTCTCAGAAGGTCTGGTTCATCCACCTGCACGTTGAGGCGGCACATCAGCTGCCCTGGGTGAACTTCCGTACATCGAACCAGCGCTTTGCAGGTCTCTTGCGTGAAACACCACCTGCTAGCTCAAAGTTCATGATCGTGAGGCGCGCGTGCACCGGCACACAACCCACAATGGAAAAGGGGTGTGGCATACCCCAAATCGCATGAGATGGTGCGATGATAAATTGGTGCTCAAACTGCTCAAAAAGGCCGGGACATGATCCTTCAACCAGTTCGGACATGATCCTCAAGGGTTGACCGCAAGGATAAAGACCACCTCCCATGGCTTCGTGAATGGCACCTCAAACTCCATTGCTAGGAACCCATCAGGTGGAAGCAAATCATAGAGGTGCTTTGCAGTGGGCCCTGAGCGCAGATCAGCCATGGCCTGAACCAACTTTGTAATGCTGCCAGGTCTGACATGCAACCCGCAGGAACCCCAGCGTTTCGTTGGCCAGCTGGGTAGCCAGGCTCTCCAGCTGCATATCACCCTGGGCTGAATTAGCAGCCCCAACGTAGCATGAGTTGGATAAGAAACCGGGTAAACCTGCTGGCGCCTCACCTCCTGCCTTACTTTGGATGGGTTTGAAGCGAAGGCCATCTTGCCCAGTTCCTCCAGCAAGCAGGTTTCAATGACTGAGCTTGGGTGTCCAGTCTGCCTACTCTGGCCTACGCGCATCATTCTTTGCAGCGTGGTGTAGCCATAGGGAGTTCTGAGTTGGTCCACCACTGTTGGTCAGAACGCCTCCAAAAATGTCTTGGAAGTCACCTATCATGTCTGCATCCTCCACGTCGATGCGTTCTGAAAGGAAAACCAAGTTCAGGCTCACTGGGCAGCAATCCACTGTTTCAAGAGATTTGACAAGAACGGCGAAGCCGTCGTTAAAAAAACTGACACCTTGTTGAACATGGGCTGAGGCAGCTTCACTCAACAAGGCACTCCATTTGGCGTCGGTCCAGTAGAACGCAATGGCGGATCCACTGCAGGCGCTGGCCGTCATGTTCCAGGAGTGCAATATGGAAATGGGCCCCGCATAGATGTCGCGATGTCTTGTCTGAATTGCCGAAACATCTGGCAGCGTTGGCAATTCTTCGAAGTGCAAGGACGGAGCAGTTTAAGCAAGCAAGCACGTATCAGCGGTATTTGCAACCCTGTCTCATGTCAGAAGCACCAGTCTTGCACAAACGCTTTCGTCAGGGGGGAAGACTCCTCAAACACCTGGCGCAGCGCAAGGTCATCCAGACGGCTTACGAGAAAGAATTATTTGTTGCATACATGTGCCATGCCTTGTATGATGCTGTGTGAGAAGAGTCGTACTGCACCTTCAGACGCGCCTCTTTGAACTGGGGTTGCCACGGATCCTTCGAACGCAGGACATGTCCAAAGCAACAACTGCTTGCAACTTCTGCATAGCAACTTCTGCGCATGTCCGGCTCACCCCTATCTTCACATGCGCAGTACTCAGCTTCTCATACTCTTTACCTCACCAGATCCCAAGTAGAACGCAAACGCGCGAAACCTGCTAAGTTGGAGAGGCGCGTTCTGGATGGTTCGTCGGCTGGTTGCTGCCGATGGCACGCGCGAGCACCACAAAAACATGGAGCGAGCTGAAGCCAAATCGAAAAGGCTGGACAGCAGACTCGAATGCGTCACCACACTGCTACTCATGGAAATCAAGCTGGCACGATTTGCATGATTATTCTACAAAAATGAAGGATCGCTTCTCTTACATCCAATCAGTCAGTTGTTGCCAATGACGGCAGCTACAAGCTCCAAGGTGGCAATCACTCGAGCTTCCAATACCCACGCTGACTCTACTCTTTGACTCTCCGCAAATTGCAGCCGGCCCTAAAAAGGTGCTAGCATCAACCATGGAAAGGTGACGCGGTCAATGTCACCACAAACTTGCTCTACCCTTGACTCTTTGTTCTGGACCTTTATTCTTCCAGAAGCTGAAACTGTGTCAGCGAAGTCAAAGACAACGCCAAGTGCAGCAAAGGCCGTCTGCATTGGCTGTCTTTTCGCAGCTTTAACAGAGTAGCGCCAACCCAGAAGACTCAGCACACTTTCAGCACCAGGGAAAAGAAAGTATGAAGCGGTGTATCAATTCGGCTTGCAGACATGCCCTTCTCCCGGCACGCACAAGCACATCCATACAAACAATCTGCATTGATAGGCAGGACTGTCTTGCAGTCCGCTCGAGACAGGACCCACGCGTAGGACCCGGCTCAAGCTTGCAACGTTGAGGTTGCCTTCTTCCGAAAAAGGTCTTCTAAGAAGGTAGAGACGACCTTGCGCTCGTCGGACCCACAATTCAACAGCACGTGGCCTGCTAAAGTCAACTCTGGTTGAACAAGAAAAAGGTCGGCCCAATTCCTGAGCGCAGTCGCTCTCATGATGTCAGGTGTGGTTGAGTGCGCACAGCTAGCATCTTCAGCTTGACCTCGTCAGTCAGGAATCTCTCAGTCGCAGGCACTGCTCCCAACCTTCGAGGAACAGGAATAGGGTCCGACCAAGGATGCTACTGACAAACGGACTGCTACCCCATGGCATCAGAAGGCCAAAGCTAGTATCACCACTAGACATGGCCACATCTAATCATGACTCAACAAAAGCCAGAGAAGGGCGTGATCCTGACGAGACATCCACATCAACACACAAACATCCTGAAACCCCCTCTTTGACATGTTGGTGACTTCCACCAACACACCCACCCCACCTCACCCTCTTGAGCACAAGCCACGACGTTCGCAAGCTCACTTCACATTTGAGCAACAATGACCCATGATCAGGATCAATTGGGTTCATAGATCGACGCTGTAACAAACCCTTCTTCCATGAAAGGAAGGCTCAGCATCTCAGACGGCCGTGTCAGTCTGCACCATTCCAACTTGCATGCGGTGATTGAATTGGACTACGATAGTCACCTGCGCAAATCAAAAGGTCAGATGCCTAAAGGGAAGGGTTACCGAAAAGGATTCCCAAGCAACCGAGGATTTATAGTTTACAGTATCCCTCACTGCCTGGGTAGTCGACCAGGTGTATTGATAGCCATAGTTACGATGTCTATGGCATTTTGTATGGGGTGGCATCGGAGGTGCTGCAGCGAATGTGCTTCAGCATGAAAATGCTTCCAAATTGCAAGATTCAAGTAAGGCGTCTTTCGCATTGGATGAAGAAACTACTCGAGTATCTGCAAAGGTGCTCAAAATTCAAGGTTAGATGCTTTATACCACGTAAACGCTCTGCAACACGAGAAGAACCAAAAAAGAAAACAAATATGAATCTCACAGGCCAATTCAACAGTTTTTGTCTTTTCAAAACAACCGGGGGTGTTTGAAATCCAGGGCGCCCATGCACAAGTAGTGTAACAGCGCCTTGCGTTGGCAAAGCTAAGATACGACAGGAATGGCGAATCTATGCGGAACCGAGTGACGGAAGATTTTGGCGGACAAAGAGCGTGTCACCGATGAGTTTTCTCTTGCTTTTTATGAATGCAATGGCTATATCTGATTGGTGTACCTGAAGCCACGAAAGAAGCTCGGCATAAGTATGTCACCTGCTCCAAGGCTTCCACACTTCCAACTGAAAACTGTCACACGTGGCTTACAAGAGTCCGATCCCTGGGATTGGATCAGGGCCATGATGAGTTAGCACTGGATTGCGACGAAGAGCATGTGTGCCTTGTGCCATGGTGTTCACAGAAATCCCCTTAAAATGTGCTTAATTCGGAGGGCCCTAGCCGCATACTTGTGCCCGGAGGCCTGTGCACAATAAGGCTTCCAGAGCGACCCAAGCAACGCAGCACACCCGAAGACAAACGGAGAAAGTACAAAAGAGGCGGCCGAGCGAACCAGCACAACCGGAGACAACGGAGGTCAGTGTTAGGTTGGGAAACTAAAACCTTTGGTTCGGAAACTGCAAGCGGCATCATCTCCGAAGCACATTCAAACAAAGGTTTTCACCCCCCCACCACCCCCCCCCAGCCCATAAACCTGGCACAAATAGTGTCTGAAGCCGACAGAATCCGTTTCTCAGCCCACCAGAAATAGGCTCCTGAACCCGCCCAGTTTCTGAACCCGTGGTTTTCATTTCTGAACCCTAGTTTCTCAACCCGAGCCAGTTTCTGAACTTGACTTTGTTCGACAGGGGAAGACAAGCGGAGAAACCCTGGGACCAGCACACGCCCCCTTTCAAAGGAGTAAGAACTCCTCACAGGAGAAAATGTTTGGGCCATAAAGAAAAAGAAGAAGCAAAACACAGTCCTCTTCGTCAAGAATCACTGGGGAAGAGCTCTGAAATAAGGCCAGCAAAAGTAGGATGTCACTTAGTCAAGCACGCTAGTGTGCTTGGCGGACATCGCCAATGTCTTGTCACCCTTTTTGGCTCCATAGACCACAACGGCCGCCTCCTGTCATCAGCACTGCCCTATGATCCCTGTGTTTTCAGGCTCCAGTGAGGGTCAAAGCCTGTTCGTTGGCAGCCTGTTTTTGCAAATCGAGTTTTGGATGCAAATGCTGCTCACCGCGTCAAATATCCGAACCTCCTTCTTGCGCATCTGAGCTCTTCTGCTCGGGGGTTCCTTGACGACTGTTTCCTGCAATCATGATGGCTCATTTTTCTGCATCGTGTGAAGGCTTGTCAAAGAACTCAAGAACAGGTTCCAGAATAATTCAGCGCAAGAAGCAAGATTTGCAGCTCAAAATGCTTTTTTGATGGAGCTTGAGAAGGGTTAATGCTTAACAAACATCACTGAAACCATCCAGACAAAGGGAAAAATCAAGAAGCTCGGTTAACCGATGATTCAACGACAAAGAACCACACATGTGCATCGGATTCCGCAGTGCCTTCTTGATTCTCTTCTTGCCGGCTTCCCCCAGAGGGCTTTCTAGGACACCAGGAACACTGAAGTCCTGGCAGTCAATGCCAGTTCTTTTTTCAGAAACCAACGACACAAAAACTGCAGTGAAGAGGGTTGGTCTGTTAAAATGAAAAAGGGACGAGACATATACCAAGTAGAACAGTCAAACCTTGTTTGGAGCTAGCTAGTTCGCTTGCTTGAAATGCATTGGCTGGTGTACATGAACCAAACTTATCCATTCTGCCTTTCGGAAGCAACCGTTGGCGCCTCGGGGAGGCTGACCCGAGGCGTTTGATCGCAACGACTCCTAGTCGCTCCTCAGGGTCCATGACCTTCATGGGCATTCCGATCCTGGTCTCAACCTGGTCAGATGCCAAATCCACCCCGGTCCACTCCGCTGCCCAAGTTGGCCTTTTTATTGTCCTTTCCTCTCCATTTTTTGGCCTGCTCTTACTCAGCTAAGTAGGCGGCTACTTGATCAAGTAAGCTTCTATTCAGAAATTTATGTGGTTCCTAGATGTTTAGGGAAACTGAACTTTTCAGAGGATATACATGTCCTTTGTTCTTTACACCTGCAACCTTTTCTTAAGTGTTCTTGTTTTCTTTTTGTTCTTTCTTCAGCCTCAAAAAGCTACAGCAAGTAGCTAGTACTCCACACTGAGGTCTTCAAACAACAGGCCCTCCTTCTCAAAATGGTAGCAAGAACCCTCCCTAAGAGCCGTCCTCAACTCACCCGCAAGGCCCGCAACGGCTGCGCCTTCTTGATCAAATCAGGCTCGTCGTACCAAATGCAACAACCACCCTCGTCGATAATCCAGTTTGCATCATCCCGAGGCCTGCCAAAACATCGGGACAAGCAGCAATGTCGCAAACAAATCATGTTGCATTCAGATCTGCAGCTATAGCGGTGATTGTTTGACACAGTTGCACAAAACTTGCAGTTGATATTGTAGCAGCTGTCGTGGAATGGGGCTCCTCTCCCTCAAACGTGTCTATAAGTCCCATTCCAATCACACAAAAACATGAAATGAAATCCAATGGATGAAGAGGCATTCTATGGAGGGTGAAGGGGATGTGAGTTTGCCACTTATGAGAATTGGGTCACCAGGTCCATCATAAATACGCGCGTGTTCACATTTCGCAATATTTCATGTCGCACAACCGCCTTAGCTTCTGATCAGGACCAAAAGGGATTGTCAACTTCGTGTTGCCCGGCCATGGCTTACAGTCCTGAGAGCCAAGGCCCGACAGAACCAAGGCTAGACCAAGCAAAGCTTTTGTCACACACTTGTACTAGAAGGACAAGAGTAAATGCTGTCCTTGCCCCGTGAAGGGCACTTGTGGTACCAGACCTTCTCTTTCTCTGTGGCAACCTGAATGGCAAGGGCACAGCCTCCAAATCAGAAGCCTTCAAGGTGAACCTCAGTCCCCTTCTGGCAAAACATTCTTGAGGTTCTCACTACTCTACGCATTTCTTCCAATTCGGCTGTGTAGAGCGCTGGAGAAGAGTTTATGTGCTCATGTCAATGTTCCTCAAGCTTTTTTCATCACTATAGGTTGGAGGCCATCGCTAGGTGTCGGCCCGAGCTCCTACCAGCAGGTACACCCGTGCAGGCCAAAGGCACGGGAGGGAATGTTTGACCCTGAGCCATGGATCGAAAGCGAGCCTGATGGTGGGACGATCACCATTTCAGGCAAAGCCTGGTTCTACGACCACCAAAGGTCCGCCTTTCATTGCACATCGTTGATGAAAGGCCAACGGTTTCTACTAGCTGGAGTGAAGCTCACTGGAGATCGTTTCTCGGTCATTGCCGCCTCCAAAAGGACCCAAGACGGACTTCAAGTTCTGGAAGCACAACCTTCCTCGATCCAGATCCATGCCATAGCAGATAGCTCGACTGCAACAGAAGTCATTGACATCTGCTCTGGATATGCCATCATGACAGCTGGATATAAATACCTCAATTGTCGGGTCCGTTGCCACGTGGAGATCAACCCGACCTATGCAGGATGGTTGAAGGCAAAGCGAGAGCCGGTCATCCAAGGTGACATCAGCAGCCCCCAGGTCTTGCAAG